AAGCCCTGCCCCCTGACACAGCCCCACGGCACCCACCCACCCACCCACCTGTGTTAGTGCCAAGCCTGACTGACCCAGAGCTCTGGACAATTCTATAGCTCTCACGGCATGTGGTCGTTTTGGTTGATCGAAATCAAATGTATTACATTAGCTGCCCTGAGCCTGCTTGTGGGGGGGGGGGACGACACAAATCAAAATAATAAATAAATAAATAAATGAAACACGTGGGCTTTGGTTTTCTGGATTTTGTTTTGAACGAATGCATCTACTCCCAGCCCTCAAATGAATGAGGTATTAGTTCATGGCCAGACACACCAAACAGCATGGGGCTCTGTGGTCTGGAAGTACCGTCACCACACTGCAGTGCAGTTAGTCATGCTTATTCCTTTCCATCGTGAAGCACACAGGGAATCGGTTCTGCCACTGGAGCAGTTTTCTGCCTTGAAAAATGGATTTATAAAGCACATGACAAAGTCATCGGCACATCAGCACACAGCTGGTGCATTCACTCGGCCCTTGCTTAAATCCCTTCGACTTGAAAGCATGTCCATTTAAAAGTGATTTGTTTTTGTCTTTCTGATTATATCCAAATTAAATAAAGACATTAGTATTAGAAAGTGCTTGGCTGAATTGGAATCGCTGTCAGACAGCCCTCCTCCCTGGAGCCTCCTGAGCCACACACACCCTTTTGGGCCTGCGGTGTGTGAGCCGGGCGTTCAGGCAGCCCCGGGGCCCTGGTCGGACTGGGGGGCTCTGCTCTCGTGCATCCCACTGGTGGGCTGCAGCCCACAGAAGCCGATGCAAGCACAATGCCTGGCAAGTCCTTAAGGGACCACAAAACGCCTCTTCATCGGGAAGTCAGCTGGGGGGGATAAGGGGGAGCGGGGAGCCAGGTGGCAGGACGGCCGTGAGAAAGGAGTGATGAGGACACTAGGCAGCAAAAACGAAACCAGAATTTATAGGTGAAGCAGTATTCAGACAAAGGCAAGGAAAAGGCATACAGGGACATTTGAAGGATAGTGCTGAAGAGACCATCATAGAAATTATATGCCTGTAAATTAGGGCCCTGGTGGCTCAGAGGTTAAGACACTGAGCTGCAGATTGGAAGGCCTGTCGTTTGGCAGTTTGAGACCCGAGTGTGCCGCGTGACGGAGTGAGCTCCCGCCTCTGGTCCCATCTCCTGCCAACCTTGCAGTTCAAAAGCAAGAGACTGCAAATAGACAAATAGGTACTGCTTTGGTGGGAAGGGAACAGCGTTCCATGTGCCTCGGCATTTAGTCATGCCGGCCACATGACCACGGAAACATCCTCGGACAGTGCTAGTTCTTCAGCTTGGAAATGGAGATGAGCACCGCCCCCTAGAGTCGGATTCAACTAGCTTTCGAGCAAGGGAAGCCTTAAATTATGACTGCTCAGCTGTGTGTCTCCTCCTCTTCATGGAAGAAGACAGTCCTATCCCCCCTAAGAAACTGGCTGAAAAAGACTGGGGGCAGCAGTGCACTGTTGCCCACATTAGCATATTATGGTGTGGAGAAACCACACACACACACACACACACACACACCTGAGCTTTTAAAGTGTTCTTGGTTTCCCCCCCCCCTCTTGTCTCTGGAAGGGCAGGAAGCGAGGTCAGTTACCAGCCATGGTAACTGCAAATGGCTTGACTTGCAAAGGAGTGGAGGGATCTGGTGTTAGGAATCTCCAGGGGACTCCTGGAGGTTTCCCAGAATGCCTGCAAGGAGGGACTCCCAGGATGCACCTTGAGTGGCCCAGGGTCCCCTTGGGTGACCTGGGCGGACCAAGTCAAAGGGGGCGGAGAGTGTGATGTAGAATGGGTGGAGTCAGGGGTTTAATAAAAGGGCTTCCTCACCCAGGAGGGAGGGGCTCTGGGTGCTGGTCCTTGGAGGAGGACAGACTGCTGAGCCTGAGTTAATGAGTAGAACCATTTGGAACTTTCTAAGCTTCTAATTGCCTACTCCAACATCTAGCTAGAGTATGTTTCAGAACGAGGGACAGGGGATGCAATTATGGCCAACTTTTCTTTGTCCTTCTGCTTCCTGATCTGGTGCTGTGCTGAAAGTAGGCTTGTAACATTTCTCTCTTTCTAATAAATATTTCACTCTTTGAAGCTGGGAGTGTTCTCTGGACCACACAGTTCCCCCAACCACCTTAGACCACACTAGTGTAAGAGGGGAGTCCCAGGAAGGGGGAAGGCAAGCAGTCAAGGCACCCGTTTCCCATCCTCCAGCCCCCCCCCCCAAAGAAGGACTCTGGTCCCTGTGGTGAGCAGGAGCTGGGTAGCAGGAGACCTTGCGGCAGGGCCTCAGTCTGAGAAGGGGTGCCACAGGAGTCTGTCCCTCCCGGCAGGAAGACCCCCATCAGGACAGTGGTGGCAGCGGACCCTAGTGGGAGGAAGTGGAACAGCACCCTCCAGGAATTGGCGCAAGCCAAGGAGGGGGGGTGGCAAGACAGGGACTGTAAGTCAGAGCAAGCCTCTGTGCCGTCACATGTGGCATTCTCAGTCTACTGAAAGATAAGCCCTTATTGTACAGTGTTGGAATCGTACATTACAAGATATTATACAACTTTACATATTTTTTTCAATGTTATAGACAGACAAATTTGATGGCTTGAATGTTTGGATTTCTCAAGGAATTTGTTCTCCTTTTCTTTAAGGTTTAATGTTACTTTTATATGATTGTATAGAACATGCTCCCTTTGTCTTTAAAATAAATATTTTAAAAATGAAAAAAATCCACTACAAATATGGGGGGAACGGGACAGAAGGACTGGGTTTAGTGAGACTTTGTATAAAGGAAAGGAATGTACATTCTGGGGTTAAGAAGACTAATAGACTACTCTAACAGACATCTCTGAAGCTTGTTATTATTGTCTGTAGGACTTCGGTGTCAGTACAGGGTGTGAGGGGAAATATTATGTTTACAAGACCAACCAACCTCATCTGGGTGTGGAACAATGACCTTACAGCCTCATGACTGAAAGAAAAAAACAGACAACTGCAATTTCACGTGGTACAAACAGGAGAAAAGCAAACAGAATTTGCACATCGAACATATCAGATCCTGGCATACAGTCAGGGCACATACAAACAGAAGCCCTCTTCATTCTTTACAGTTTTGGTACTCAAACGTGAGGAAAGGGAGACGGCACTACCCACCACCCCCATTTTGTGTGAATAGGGCAGCATGCATATCCCCAACGGATGCCCTCAACAATCCGGGTTCCCAATTGCGCGTAGCAAAACTGGAAAACAAATGTTTCCTTGTTCATGCAAAATGATGTCTGCATGTATCAAAAGGGCCACAAGTAGTATGATCTCCCCTTAGGCATGCTTTGCGTGCCAACACGGTTACTGAGAAGGGTTAACGGTGATGAGGAAAGAGGCCGAATGGATGGCCCTTGGGCGTCCTGCAAGACAAAGGGCCCCCCCAACACCTCGCGAGGGACTGTGCAGCTGATCAAGTCCTGCAGTGAGTGGCCAGTTGCCGACTGCTGCTTCTTTCTCGGCAGAGTCCTCCTGTCTCCCTGGCCAGGGAAAGTCTTTCCCATGACTTCCTCAACTGCGAGAGGCAAGGTGGCCACCCTATTTTATTGGTGCTGGGCTGTGGTTAAAGGCCCAGCGTGAGTTGCCAGGGTGAACGGTGGGAAGGAAAGCGGGACGGGTGGTGAGCCAGGAAGTCAGTGGGACTTGCTGGGAGTGATCGCTTCCCATGCTCAGGTGACCCCTTGCAAGTCTGCTGGATGCAAAGAAATGGAAACTGCGGGGGGGGGGGTGATCTTTTCTGAGTGGCAACAGCGAACCCAAAGTGCGTCTCAGTCCAGTCCTTTGGCCCCAACCCCGGCTGCATTGCCTGTGCTGTGCTGTGCTGTGTGTGGCTGTCGGTCCCAGAGGGAGGATGTGCCGAGGGCTGGCAGCATCACAAACCCCAAAACTCAAGGGGCCCTGGGCCAGGACCTGGTGCCCTGGCATTGAATGGCAGTGCCGAGGCTAAGGGCTGGATCAGTGAACGTGTGTATTTAGAACCATGTGGTCACCACACACACACACACGTACAAAATAAAAAATATGGAACTGATCTGTGCTGAATGTGACATGTGGTTGTGCCAGAATATTGCCTCCCTCTTCAATTGACATATGCAGTAGTTAGATGAAGCGGGCATGCACTGAAGCAGCCCTGTCGCTACAGTGGGACTTTGCGGGGCCTGAATATTTCTCAGGCGTCATTTCTGAGCTTTCTTCCTACATAGGAGGTGGCAAGCCCAGAGCTGGGACTCATGAGGAAACGCGGGGAGCAGGTGGCTCTAAAGGGTGGCTAATTGGCTGCATCTGCTGTGCACTGGGGGGGGGTGTGTCTGGACAGTCACACACATACCTGAACACTCCATAGAAAGGAAGCCAGAAGAAGCAGAGAAGCAGAGGACAACCACCTGCCCTGAGCCAAGTGCCGGGGGCTCACAGGGGATTCGCATTTGATGCATTACTTTCCCTGCTGCATATCAGCAGTCCCGTGGTGGTACAACAATTCACCCAGGCATGAAGTCTGGGAGTTACTGGGCTAGTTGTCATAATTTTAGCATTCCTACCTATCCACCTAGTACATTATTATTACTTCACCAAGGAGCTCATCTTCCTCGTTTTGTCCTCACAACAACCCCATAAGGTAGGTGAGGCTGAAACACAGTGACTGGTCCAGTCGCCCAGAAGTCTTCATGATGTGTGCAGATCCAAACCTTTACCTCTACCCTTTACCTCACTTAAGAGAAGCTTGTCAAGTGTGGGCACGAGGCCTTGAGAAACAAACACTTCCTTTAGGAAAAGGGGTGGGGGTGAGGTCATTTTAGAAGAGTCCAGTGAAGCAAGCAACCGGTCACGTTGAGATGGAAAAGTGAGAGCAGAGATCACCACCCACAGTAGAGCAAATGCAGAGTCCAGCCGGGCACCTTTAAGGCCAACAAAGGCTTATTCAAGGCATGATGTTGATTGGCTTTCACTTTGCATATCTCAAAACAGCTTCATCACATTAACACCTTAATTTGCTGTTCAGCCTCTGCCTATAATTTTAAGCTCTCACCTCCCGTTCCGTTGTATTCAACCAAGGGTGCGCCTTGCACACAAAAGCTCAGACCTTGATTGAACCTTTGTTGGTCTTAAAGGTGCCCCCACGGGACTCTACATTTGTTCTGCTGCTTCAGACAGGATCCATCATCCTCGTGGTCGATTACAAATGGAGCTTGTCCTCCATTGTAGCTGTTGTGTCCGCTGACCACCACCAGGGGCCAGCGAACACTCCAGAGCTTGACTCTGAAGTAACAATGGGGACTAGGCTCCTGGTCCCTCCACTGGGGAACCAATGGGACTGTGGCGGGAGATTTAAACCCTCCAATGGGACCTAGGGGTGTGTCCCCAGGTATGTATATAGTTGGCCTGCCGGCTGTTTGTCTTTTGTTGTGTACCAGTAAACCATGCTGATCACTACATCGGTCTCTGTGGTTTCTTCATCCGTCTAACCCACTACACATCAGTAGCTTTAAAGGACAGGCCAGGGAGTTGGAAAGTTGCCAGACCCACAACCTGGAGGAGAGGAAGCCAAGGGGGTGGCTGAGTTGGGGGCTGTTGGTTTCTTCCAGGTCAGCATCTACTGGAGTTGCTTTTCTACCCATTTCTTGACCAGCAGTGGCCAGCGGTGAAGAAAGGGGCATCGCCTTCTGCTGAGCTTCCATCACTGAAGCCACTTTAAAGTTCTTAGGAATTTCTTCAGATCTGAGAAAATTTTTCCAACCCTTCTGCAGTTGTCATTTGGATGTGTGTGGGGGGGGAGAGAGACAGCTCTGTCATGTCTCCTGTGGTTCAGGGGGGAAACAAGAAGCTTTCTGTGACCCTGTTGTTTTAGAGGAGGAGACATAAAGCAAATGATAAACACTGCAACAGTCAGTGTGTTTGCCTGGGATGAACAGCAAAAGCAGTTTGCATAATAAGCAGATCGTGTTGCTCCGATCTAGACAATTGAAATATTGCAACCTTCCCTTTGGAGTGCAATAGCAGCAGGCAGAGAAATGTTCAAGCATGCCTCCCACCTCCATGTTTGATTGCCCCGCCCTTTGCGGGGCAGCTTCACTGCACAGGCCAGGAAAGGCTGGTGGGGTTGCGTGACATGGATAGGCCGTCTCCCCCAAACTGACCTTTGGCTACGTGGACTGGTGTTGTTTGATAAGCTATCACTTTGGGCTTGTGAGAAGACATTTGCTATTTGGGGAGGATCAATATTCTTGTAGAAGTAACTAGAAAAATTCCCAAACCAGTCAAGCTATTTCCTCTTTGGCAATACTTTTCAATTCTGTGGACAATTCCACTTTTTCTCATTGTTCTCTGTAAACTGTGTTAAGCTTCAGTTGCCATGAAATGGGTTGCATCGTCTGAGGCTGTGCTCACACACACACTAAATAATCTACTTTCAATCCACTTTCCAACTGGATTTTGCATGGTCCTGCAGTGCCTTGTCAATAGTTTATTTGTAGTCCACACAATTGCAGATGTCCCCATTGGGTTTAATGGGAGTAACTATTGGGGTCTCCCAGAGTGCGTGGGGGACCCGCTCCAGAACCCCTTGGGCCGCCAAGTGATCTAACTCCTTAGTCTTGGGTTTCAGTGCAAAAGGGATGTGCCAAGCCTTGAGCCTTATGGGCCGCACCGCTGGGTTGAGCTGGAGTGAGACCGGGGGGGGGGGGGCAGTGTAACGGCCAAGCATTCCATCAAAAATGGATAGAAACTCATTGCGCACCTGCTGGAAATCCCTTAGTTTGTTGTGGTTCACCCCCATTACCCTGAACCCCAACGGTGCGAACCACACCTTCCTCAACAAACTCTTGCGCCGGCCCTCAACTACTAATAAGTCCAACAAACCGTCGACTTGCCAGTACTTAACCCGGAACTTGCCCACCGCTTTCACAGCCACTATGTTCCATTGAAAGTCTCTGAGGATGACGCCGGCCAGTTTGAAGGCACAGCCTCCTGAGAGTCTCTGCCGAAACGATGGCTGGACTTCCTGCGACTCCGACACGTTGCATCCCTGAAGCGGCAGCAGCGTTGCTCATGGAGGTCCCCGCAGCCGGCGTGTAGCGCGTCAGTGAGGCGGTCTTGGCGGTGCCGCCTGGGCACAAACCTGACGAGGCAGTCGGGTGAGCGTCTCAGTGAGCTGGAGGGTGCATCTGCAGGACCCCCCCCCCCCTCATGTGCCGGACACGTCGGAGGCTGAGGAAATGGCAGCCTGGTGCACTGCAGCAGCATGGTGGTCGGTCTTCACGTTGCCAACCTCCTGGGACTTCTCGAATGCTGCAGCCCCCAGATCGCCTTTTGGGGGGTCGTGTCCTCTTGGCCGATGAGCTTGCAATGGAGCTTCTCGTCCCAGAGCCCGAACACGAAACGGTCGAGGAGGGCTCCTTCAATGTTCTGGAACTCGCACTGAAGAGCCAGTCAGCACAGGGCAACGGCATAGACAGAGGCTGATTCGTTGGGCCTCTGATTCTGCTCAAAGAAGTTGAGGCGGCAAGCCCATCGGGTGGGCTGGGGCACGAAGTGGTTGGTGAGTGCTGTGATGAGACCATCAAAAGGGGCAAGCTACAATGTGGTTGGCGCTATGAGGCCAAGAGCTGAGCAGCAGTGCCTTCTTCTTGGTGGTGCCCTCGATTCCCTGGAACGCCACAAAATACTTCAGGCATTCCACCCAGGCCTCCCATGGCTCTGGGTGAGTGGGGTCGAACTCTAGTAGTAGTCCTGGAGTGGTAGCCATGGTCCTGGTTGTGGTGCGATGCGCGTGGCCCTGGAGCTCGGTGTGTGGGGCAGGGCAGGTGGGCGCTAGGCTCACTGAACAGGATCCCATCTTCACCACCAGTGTTAAATGCTGGGCTCCATGGAAGGTCCGACCCCAAGCTTAATGATCAGCTCTCCTTTATTAGTGATTCAGCAAGAACAGAAAGC